CGGAGAGAAGAAGGAAAAAGCCCATAACGCTGGATTATGCAGAGAAAGATCTTACTTGAGAAGAAGAATGCCTCTGACATTTATCAAAACCACAAACTGACACTTCAAAGGAAAAAAAAGAAGACAGCTTACAAGGCAGAGGTTAATTCAATTTTGTTTAATTTTTCCCCCCATGAAGGCTCATTCACGTCTTCTGCCAATCCAGCCCTGGAATGATCTCTCAGGTGTATCATCCCTAACAACTACAGCTTTGTTCTCAAAGCTTTTCAACATTCTAAATAAAATGTGAGAGGAAAAAAAAAATGTATGTTTATTTTTCCATCTCCTCTTAATGGTTTTAGAAGCTCGGTTTATACTTTCAAGGTACTGGAAATGCAACCTCAGTCATTTTCATTACAGTAAGTGAAATCTCAGTCCTGATTCTCTACAGACCACCAACAGGTTCTACCTGTACACTCCTGCGAAATGATTCTACCACAAATAGAAGCATCACAACCACTTCCAAAGCAGTGGCACAGTCCTGGGAAGAAAAGTCAAATACTACTTTCTAAGTACTTTTTGAGTTACTCTTGGGAAGTACTAAGTAGTGAAAAGGACAATGACCTTGTTTCTACAGGAGGGTTGTAACAAGGATAGAAAGTATCTTCTGTCTGACTGACATAAGCTAAGGCAGGTTCATTCAAAACTCTTACTTCTCTAAACTCAGTACTTCAAGGGGGGAGAGGGGAATGTTTAATACTATTATGATTTTGAAAACATCTGCTAAAAACTGTAGAGTAAAAGTATTTGATAGCCATCAGATATTTAACTTTTACATAATAACTTCTTTCAACCAATTCTGAAACCAATAACCTTGGTACTGAAAGCTACACGAGACAACACAGCTATTGCCCTTCATGAAAGCTGTATTTTCTTTAACATTAAAAGAACCCCAACAAGTCAAGCACAGGCAGAAGGGGAAAAAGAAAGATCAACAAAAGGTAACACCATAGCATTGTAAATTTCAACAAATCTATAAACTATTTTTTCCTTGATTGTCAGTTTTATAGACTCAAAATAACCAGTATCTTGAGAAGAATATTATATTGGCCATTTCCAGGATACACATTGTGCCACCTTTGCCACACTTTAAAGAATACGTGGCACCTAGTAACCAACCCTGCAAGGAAGCACTGGAAAGAAATACAGCTTTTCAGATAAAAAAAGGCAGGAGAAAAATCAGGCATATAGTCACAATACACTTCATTTATGCCTTTGCAGTCATCTTAACAATGGCAGTGCCTCTCTATCACTTCCCTACTTCCATGGACAGTTTTTCAGACTGTCTCTTGAGAACTTTGACCATCAGAGTTTTCTTGTTTTAACTTTTTAACTGCTCCAGAAAGGAAAAAAAATTTCTAAAGGCACAAAGCAGGTAAGGGAAGTCCCACAACAAAAAGGAGTTTCTTAGTCATTTGGGATAGATAGGTGAGCACAGATAGATGATTTACACACAGTTCAATGGAAGCAAAGAAATCTGCTAATCATCCCCCTGTCCACAAAACGAAACAAAATAAGCAAATATTAGAAGATAGCTTCTAAAACCAGAACAATTATATTTAGTAAGTTTTTTTTCTTTCTTAAACAGGAATGTTCTCAATAGAGTGAAGAAAAACTGGAAGAGATCCTCAGGATGTATCTTTACATTATCTCAAAGCATTAAGCATTCACAAACAAACACTTAAGAAAATGTAATTAAAACTCTACACCTAGTATGTATAGCTATCCTTTGCCTGGTAACTCTGAGTCAACAGTCTGATGCAATAGTCATTGTGATGGTGCTTATAAAACACCACTCAAAAGATACTCAACTGTTTTGCTGAGAAAGTACAGAAAACTAAGAATAAGCCTGTAAGTCAGCACTCAATGCCATTTCTCCTGTACAATGCTTAGCTTCTAATGTTTTGAATGTGTACAAGATGCATACTTCCCCCACCCCAGAAAAGTTCACATTTTGTTCAATATGGGGATAAATTCCTTTCTGCTGCTGTAAAAAGAAAACCCTTCACGACACGTTCAAAAGACCTTTTCAGTTTAGATTTTTAAAAGGGTAATCTGATGTAATGACAATTGTTTGAAAACATCTGGACTAAATTGAAATCCAGCAAGGAGCAATGGATAGGCTATTTTCAGCCTTGGGACATTTTGTTTCTTGCTTAAAAGCCTACTTTTGTAGTGTTGACATCTCTGTACAATGCTCACTTCTGTTAGTACTGTCCAGACAATTATAAAAATGATTTATCAAAAACCCAGTCACCAGAACAATTTGGTACTTTAAAATTCCTTCTATTCCAGGATCACTGATTACAGCAATCATTTTTCAAGCAGGTCATTCAAACAACAAAACATACAGGAAAGACTGACATGGTTCATAAGGCCTGCTAGGAGACAAGAGTGGGGTAAAAACTCATTAGAACATAAAAATCTTCCAAGCTATGCACAATACTTATGAGCAGCAGGTGGTTTTGAACAGTTCAGTCTTTTCCAAATGAGTGAAAACCCAGAGCTCAACCATAAACCATCTAGATTACACTACAGTCAAATCATCTTCAGATGTCGCATTTATAGTCTTTCTTTTAGATGAAAAAGGGAAATAATAGTAAAAAATATTGAAGTATAACTTCCACAGTTGTCCAGGTAATTTCCAAAATTTCTTAAGGTTATTAAGTTTAATGTTATTAAATGAAGGTTATTAAGGTTAAAACCACACACACACTTAAAGGCTATGTGGTTCTGTGGCTGCTTGAAATTTTGCAATCGGAGTACTTCGTTGAAAATATAGTTCTTAAATTTCATTCAAATCCATTCAGTGATCTTAAAACTCAACCAAATCTTCTTAGAGAAGAAGCAGACATACTGCTAATATTTGCACATCTGATTCTTATGCTCAGTTCTCAAACATTTAATATGTTCCATCTTAACTCAGTTACTTGCGTCTGACACATTTTCTGAAAGTACCAAGTTGAGGCTAAATGTGCTGTTATACTGTGTAGTAACATACATTCAAATGAGAAAACACAGTTTAGAAAAAAACGCACTAAGCACATTCTTTAGATATTATCCCAGGTCTTACCAGGTTTTTGCCACAATTTAGCAATTTGATAACACATTTGTTATGTATTCCAGTGAAATAAAAGATTGTTCTACTACTTGTTTTAATTATTCCTAAGTGCAACACACTGACTAACAGAAACAAGACTCACTTTAAGAATACTCTCCTATATTCTGGAATCTGTGCAGAATACCTGCAGTAGAAAAAATGGTATCTTAGAAAGCATGTGCACTTATCCATATATTACTAGGCCAAAATTTAAATAGTAAGGATGTGTGCAATTGAAACATAGCTTCTTGTACAACAATAAACTTCAATTTTTTTCCAAAAAAGAAAGCCAGACTTCAGGAAGAGCAAATATCTGTAATATAGATGTATGATATTTACGGAAAACAGAAAGTTGTATGTATAAATGAATTTATTTACATATTTGTCTTGAATATTATATAAGTTTAGGTGTTTGTAAATTGAATTTATAGAAAATGTGAAAAAGGTATTAAGTGAGGTTCTAGAAATTTACAGGTCGACACTTGCATGTAAAATCAGACAGTAACAAGCCTCACATCCTGACTGTTTCAGACTTCTAAAAGCTGCTAGGATCCAGCAAGTATAATTGTCATGCAAGTTTTAATGGAAAGAAGCAGGGAGAAATGGGACTTCTTTTCTAATCCTGTTTCAAAACTAATTACAGCTGTAATTTTAGGACAAACTTTTTAATAGCCCACATTCTATATCATGTAAAAGCATAACTAGAGGGTGAAGAAAAATAGCAATATATTCCTTCAGCTTGATAACTGACCTTGTTTTCTTGCCACACAGCTTTTTATCAGATTTTAAGATGAGATTAGTGCCATTAAAAAAATAAATAAAAAAAATGTAACAGCCAGTTTTGAGGCTAAAATGAGTGAACTCATGCTGCTTGACTGGAAAAGGAGAAAAAGGAGCACAGAAAAGTGGTCTGGTACATTCTTCCTTCATGCTGAAGGTTCCTCTCTGCTGTTCAGTATACACAGCAGAGAGACTGGTCTTGTTAAGAAGCATTATCATGTTTCTTTCAACCTCATAGAAAAATTCAAATGTAAAAGTTATACAGCTTCTTTCACAAGAGAAAAGGATTTCCTGAATGCTGAATTTATACGGGAACCAAGAGGAAATATGCAGATCCTAGTCGTTAATTACACTGGTTGACTTCAAACAACTTTCCCAAAAGACAAGACCTCAAGACACCCATAAACAGGCACTGAAGACACACGCATGCTTTTTCCTATACTAAAAGTCAAATATAACAGTTGGAAACCAGGCATTACACAGTGGAGAATGAGAGTATCTTTGTAAAGATACCAGTAGCATATCCTACTTTCATCAAGTAGGCACCAAGTTCTGCAGAGCCTGGAAAAATACATTTTAAAAGGTGTTAAGTACCTTCAAGCGAGGTTCAACTAAAATGTCAGTTACCATTTACTATTTTGTCCTCCCAGAAGAGGCTAGTGTATAGATCCCCATGCCCTTCTGTCAGCAACTTCTCCTGTTGGTACTATGACACAGTGGGGCCTGCGTGACAAGGACACTTCTGCCTCTCATCTTCAACCCAGCAAAGTCATAAGAATGTAAAAATGGACAAAAGTTCATGAAATCCCATCAACAAAAGATGCCTGGAAAAGTCTAACAGGAAGAAAAACAAGTAATCAGCAGCACTTCCTCACAATGCTCTCTACCTGCAGTAACTCATTTCAGTTCCCATCACGATATCTGCGTAGATGTCATTGGGGTCTTTTTATCAGCAATTTCTCCAAACCCCTTCAAAACCTGATGTAAAGTCATAGCATCCTTTACATCCCCTGAGAAGGAGTTCCACAGACTTTTATTTAGTATCTAAATAACTACTTTTGTCTGGTTTTGAAATCCTTACCTGGCTAGAAACACCCATCTGGTGTTCCTTAACTGTTGCACTAGACAAATGAATAGCCATTTTCTTTTCACCCTCTCTTACATTCATTTCGGATGACACTGTTATACCTATCCTCACTTCTCTCTTAGCCAAGATAAAAAGATCAAACAGTCCTAGTTTATCTAACGTTCCTCATATGGAAATTATTACACACCTTTACACCATTCCCAACTCCTCTCATAGTGCCTTCTCCATTTCACAGACACAAGCTTTCCACCAAGATGATCAAGCTCAAAGAGTTCAGACAAACATAGAAATAATTATGGATACAACGTGAACATCTGCAAGATGTATTGTGATCCATTTTTCAGATGACTCACAGAAGCTCAGAGACAATCACTGTGTATACCACACAAACTTAAAACTCCAATCTTCAGTCTATGCTTAAGAGATCAAACTTACATGTAAACTATTTGCAATTTCCAATACGTGAGTAAACACCAGAGATGACATGTCTTTTAATGACATGCCTAAGTGCTGGATCTAGTAATTTTCAACACTGAATAGCAAACAGACATGATTTCACAAAGTAACTTTTTAAACACAGATGTTTGGGGATCCTAAATGCCAGCAGTCCTTACATAATGAGTCCCTCTCTGCTTTATATAAAAAAAAAAAAAAAAAAAAGCAGCAGCAAGAGTGGCTAAAAATCAGATGACCAGCTCCCATTCTTTCCCATTCTTTCCTTTTATTGAAGAATGTTAGGAAAGCCCGTATAACTTAGCTTGCAAGTAAGAATTAAAAAGGATGAGAGCATTGTTCCTTGTTTTCTGATACTAAAATGATGTAATTCTCCAGGTTTCAAAGGAGTTTAGGAGACAACTGAAACTACACCATGTGAGCAATAAAAGCGCCCATTGTTTTTTCATTGCCTGCAGAGTTCCTTTTTATCACTTTAAGTATGTCTTACATATTTTTTCAGTAATTTGTTATTAATTTAAATATCTGTGCTAAATCTCACAAGTTTTAGATGGGACCAACTAACTCTCTGAAACTGCTCTACTGTAAAGGGGAAGAACAAGTTATGAGGCTGCTCACCAACTGGTTTACCTCAAAAGTGCTCAGATTTTAATGGCAACAGAGGTTCTATATCATGAAGGTTCTTGAAGCCACACAACATAAATCCTGCTGACTTAACTTCTTGTATACTATGCAACAAAAGCTGAATTAAAAAGACGGAACACCTTTAAAGATAGTTACGCACTGCTTACACAATGTCATGTCATTTTCAGGTTTAAACATTCCTCTGTTGTTTAAAAAGCAGGACAGGTGCTAGCAATAAGAGGAAGAGTTCATGAAACAACATTAGCAAGAATTATGCTTAAGTTCTAAGAGACTTTAAAGCAATATAATCAACACAAAGCATGTCCAGAACAAGCAGGCCCAATCTAAAGCAGCAGACCATGTGACTGTCTTACATGATAAAGCTCTACTTTTCCCTTTAAATAAAGTTGCTCTTGCAGCAGATTAGTCTAAGACATAAACCTTGAATGACCCCACTAGACACTATTTCATGCACTTGGAAAAAGCAAAAGAATTTTCTTGCCTGGAAGTGAAAGGGCAAATCTACAAGAAAGAAAAATAAATACTTCTACGGCATGTAGCACTACTGATCTAAAGCATGTAATACATTCCCAGCCTATTATCATTCACATAAATAAAGCTCATCTACAACACTGTGGGTCTCAAGACAGCTCCATCCACAGCAGTTTCCTCAACATTCCTTTTCTGCTTGTTGTTTATTCTTTGCTGTCTGTCTTCTAGGTAAATTCTGGAGAAACAGACGCAAAGATGACTTCCAAGTGACAAGAATTTTACAAGTAAGAAGAAAAATGCTAGCTCTAGTAATTTTCATCCACTAAGCAACTTGAATAAATCCTAAGCCTGTTTGCCAAACATAAACAAACAGATGGCAAAACAAATCAATACAACAGTGTGGAAATTCTGTAGAGGGCAACAAAACTGTCAGATGTCTCAAACAAATAAACCACAAGCTTTACATACATTACTGATGGGTGCTATGAACTTAAAGAAATAAAAACCTCTGAGCTTCCACATTTATTTCACTGTACATACAGGAATTTTACTTCCACAGGTTAACTGTGGAATCTTTTTAAAATAGTGCTAGGGCTCCCTCTCCTGACAACACTCTGAACAGCCTGTATGTGTCAGGATATGTTCTGAAAACAAAAAATCATGGCTCCAATATATGATAGTTATTTCCTGTCGGTTAAGAAGCTGAAAGTGTTTTAATCTTAAAGGAAAATGAACTTAAGTCCAAGAAACCAGCGATTATTATAAGAAGATTGATTTGAATCTTACAAGTAGGATTTTAAAATGTGTAACTTAGAAGGAAACTACCTAAAATAAGAAACACAACGTAAGACAGACATGAAAGCATTTAACAGATTAATAGATAAGGTGAGCTCTGTCCAGAATCAGAATTTAAAATAATTTACAAAGCACAGACCCACTGAACTATTGAAGTAATACCTGAATAGAGTGGCTTCAAATCATTAGACACCATAAGATTTGTGGACCCAGCTCCCTTTTAAATCAGACCACAGAATTCTTGGTTAAGAATGCACTGGAAGTCAATAGTACCCAAATATATAGATATTTAATGATCATAAACTCTGTAGTACTTGTGACTATCTCTCACTTTGTTGAGCTGCTGCCCCTCCCTTTTGGTCTGATTACTCAAGCCGGCTTTTCTTTCAACCAATCCTCTCAACTTTTGCTGAGTAAACATAATCTGAAACAGCTCCCCTGTTCCCTCAAAACTGTAAGAT